TCTGCGACAACATTCAGTGGCGATGGTGATGTTGGAGCTTTACGGTACCGAGGGAAATAATGATCTCATTCAAGCCTATTGACAGGTTTCCAACGATAGGTTTTGTTGATATTTACATTCGGTTTGCATTGTAATGACTGGTTTGGAGCTACGGCGAGGGTGCGGGAAAACACAGGCCTCCTATGATTAACTGTTTTGTTTTTAGGGGCAAGGACCATTTTAAAAGTGTAGCAGAAAGCCCCAAACTGTTCTCGACGTATTACGATGATGATATTTTTCGTCATACAAGGGCTACGACAGAACCTGAAGAAATCCGAAGCACACGGGCTGTGAAGCTCTCTGCCTTACAGGTGCTGCACGCATAATTTCCATCGTCTCATGTTCGGTAACGGTTCTGTCCACCGGCACGAAGGTATACCTGTCGCACTCGTTCCCTCAGACCCCTGCGGCCCGCGAAATTCCTCCACAGGTTCTGGATCCTCATGGCCGCCACGTGCTCCGAGAGCACTGGACGCCACACCCAGATACCTCCGATCGAACTGTCGAACATATTATGTTGTGTTTGTCGTTGTAATCGTGTTTGTGTTCACACGTCAACACCGTTCCCGTCTCCGCTCAGTACCTTCCAATATACCAGTTCCGGTTTTCGTTCAGCACTTTCTGATATACCTGTACTGGCCCGACTGACGCAGACTCCTTCCTTGGTTACGAAAAACGATACAACTAAACAAAATGTCGAAAAAAATATAACACAAGATTATTTTTCCTTTTCATAGAAAAATAGTACATATATCTTCTTTCACCAACGCGGCTCCCGGGGCCCTGGCGGGACCCTTCCGCCCCCGTTGTTCGCCAAACTAACGGCAGGGGAGGCGTTCTCTCTCAAGCCCGGGGAACGTCCTGGAGGTGGGTTTACGCGCCGAGGACACATACAGCATTCCTCCCCCTTCACAACGCTCGAAACGTCCTCGGTGACGACGAGGCCGAGCGCCATTGGGGTTTTCGGCGATGTCACCGGGAGGCGCTATTCCCGCTGTGCCTTCAAACGAGCGGCTTCGACGCGGCCTCAAGCTCCGGAAGACGAGCCTCCAAGGTCTGATTTGTCGAATATGCCTATTATATATTCGGTAAAGCATACACACCAGCACTGATTCATATTTTTTGCTACACTCACCGGCAGGGCTGCGTCCAGCTCGCCGTCGTGGGTAGTACGAGGGGGCTCTCCCCCTTGTAGAAAAAGAAAAACCGCCGCTCCTGTACGGAGGCACGAGTACATGGCAGTAGCAAAGGTAGCCGGAAGTGACGAACATGGTACTCTACTGCCCTGGCTAGCCATTGGGTGCCTGGGCATGAACACCTCGCCTCGACGGAGTGTCGCGGTTTCAAAGACCACCCTTGTCTCCAAATTGAAGGTCGAAGGGGTCCCTCAACCCCCAACGAAATGTTTTCATTGCTGCTAGTACTCCATTGTCGGAATCACCAATGAGTAACTCACTATTTGACCAATGCTGTATCATGTGATAGGATCATAGTCCCCCCTCTCCCATATCGTCAGGGCAGGCAGAGACGTGGGAGGGAATAGTTAGCCAGCAGCCAGAAAGTGAGCCTACCCCACGCAGTAAACGCACGATTTCTTCTTTCGAAAAACATGACGAATTCTATCTCTCAGCTTTATGGATGCCACACCTCTAATACAGCCATAGCTACTGCTCCTAGCGGGCTGATAGCGAAGAGAGGGGGGGGGGGGGGGGGNCGGACCAGGCTCTCACATCACCAAGCGCGAAGCGCCGTGAGATATTCGGCGAGTCGCATGAAGGGTGCGCTGCATCCTGCTAAGGGTGTTCGGCATCTCGTGCTTACTTCCTTGCGTACGGATGACAGCTCCTTATGACTTAATTTAGTTTCTGGTGCTTTCACTTCCAGAGACAGTTGTAAGCACTGTGTAACTGCCTCGAGGGTGCTTGACCATTTTAACACAACGTGGTGCGATCATCCCCCTTGCGCGGAGCGAGGGTTCTCCACCTCGCACAACATGATCTACTCGACCACCATTATGATTACCGCCAAAAAAAAAACCGGAGGTAAAAAAAAACAAAAAACGGTAACCTGGTTGCCGAGTTCACGAAGTGAATTGTCTTGTTTTACAACGTCGCTGCCAAGCGACGAAAACCCAACCCCGATGGTGATCACCGGGGGGGGGGGCGGGGGGGGTCAATGGTACCTGCGGGGAGTACACCCTGTTCCAGGCCACACGCATGGCGTCCCTCGCTATCTCTCTAGCCTTCCAGTTGCGGTGCAGCTGTTGCATTTTGAATGCCGCCTCGTTGACGGTGAGAAAGGGACGGAGCTCTTCCTTTCCCAGCAGGCGCGGCTTGCTCCAGGTAACCTTGCGTTGTTTTAGATCAGCCGACACTTCGTTGGCACGTGTGGATGGATACTTAAGGCTAGCGTACTGCGGCTCATTTTCCTGCAGGGTCACCGTTGTTCTGTTCTTGTGACAGCGATGCTTTGGTAGTACCATATTCTTGTTACGTTTTTGGAACGCCAAGGGCACGTAGTCTCGTACAACCGCAATCTTTTTATGTTGTTTTGATTACTCTTAAAAAAGGGGGGGGGGGAGTGGTGAATATTCTCACGGAGGCAAGTACCGCCGGAGGGAAGGTGAAGAAAGAAACGAAACCTGTTTGCTTGCCTCCTGTGTGACCCCGGCTGGTGCGTCAAACACGAATCACAATGTTCGGACTGGCGCTAAGTGCAAACGCGACGAAAGCAAACAAGTACACCCACAAATGCGTCCACTGACGAGATGGGTGTATGATTTAGAGTGAAATTACTGTAGCAGCCTTCTATTCAAACTTGCCAGACTGTTTTGCCTCGAAAAAGTTGTGAACGAAGGGCGATCTTCGAACGAACGACGTAGGTATCATGTTGAGGCTAATATCACCCCCTGGGTAGCAATGTGGGTGCCCTACGACTATGCCTGAAGAGACATGTGCAAGCACACAACCCGTCTACCGATAGGATTGAGCAAGCTCGTTTCATAATAACCGGCCCATCGGAGACAAAGGTAGAAAAACCATGCCTACGACCCATACACTCCAGGCAAACACATAGGGGAAGCGCCAGGTGTACCTCTCCAGTTCTGTGAAAACTGTAGTAGTGTCTTCTTGACCGGCCATCGTAGAAGCGACTGTATTGCCTCCGGACTTCCTGCCTCATTTCTCCCCTGTGGTGCACGAAGCGCATGAAGCCTTTGACCCTGAAGGCCGCCGCCGCGATGGTGAGAGTGGACACCTTTTGGACAAGAACAAGCAAACAATGCAAGCAGGAGACACTTGAAAATGTCAAATATTTTGTTCAATGATATGCAAAGATGCGACCGTAGAACGATTCTTGTGGGCCCAGCAAAGACGACGGTGCAAGCCCGCCATGTTCTTGTCAGTTTTGTACCGCAGGAGGGTGTGAGGTACAACACACTTTGTTTCGTGCATTTACATGCGAAGGTGCTCAATACCCTTTGATACTACTGGCTCAGATGAGAATGTATGTTCACGAACATCCCGTTGCTAGGAATTCAAAATCATCGAGTGATGTGAAAGTTGCGCCCACAATGGAGTAGAATCATGCTCGATAGCTTGTGCCTCTTGCCAACACACCGAATATGCTCTCGTGGGGCAACGGAGTGAGGGTCATGGGAAAAGTTTGTTGTTGGTGCATGCTATGGTAACACCCCGATAATAAAAGCAGGTTCACTTTTAGGGGAAGGCATATCATAAGAGGTGAATACGCAGCGTATATGCATATGTGCTCGCAGGCGCTTTCATAGGCAGAACGCCTGTAGAGTCGTGTTGGTGCCTACCTTAGCGCGTTCGTGGTCCGCGTACTCGATGGTCTTGTTGCCTCCGCTTTCATGCCGGTATGCGTCGCAGCTGTCGCACATGAAGCCGCACACATCGTCAGGGCAATGCATCGTGGCCGGCCCAGATTCACAAAACTCGCAGACTGCGCACACGCACAAGGCAACCACACAAGTGCCGTTCAAGAGCAAGGTTGTCGTTGGTCTTGCTGAGTTGGTCGTGTTTCCATCCACGGCAGTTTGAGCTGCGCGGGGGGAGTTGTTGGTTCCATAACCCCGTGATTCTGTAGTATCGATTTTATTATCGAAAGAAGCAGTTGCATATCATCTGCACGACGACAACATGAGGTCCAGTTGATGACTCCTAGTCTCCTTTCTCAGAGTATTGCATACATGACTTGACAGGGACGAGGGCGCCGAAGCTGCAACAGCACATGCGGCAAGACTAGTTCGGAAGTATACTTGCGTTTGCCATGCTCATATTGAACGCCGTTGACGTGAAGAGCAAGAACAATCTCAGCTTTGCGGTGTCGAGACAGGCCCGTTAGCTGGGAGACTAGGGCGGGAGGCATGTTGAGTACGCGTTCACGGCCGGTGGTTTGGCAGAATGCGCAAGAAAAGGAAACACACGCAATAGGCGTGAGATGGAGATGGGAGATCCGTCGGAGATCCGGGGTTAATTGTGCCGCACGAAACTTTTGACCGGCCGAACCGGTACAGTTCCCGCCGCGCGGGTGGCGGGATACGAGAGAGGAAAGAGGCAGGCAGGTACACGGTAGTAGTGTATGAACCCTTATGTGCATGATCGCCACCGCAGCACGGACTGATGGCGAAATATCCGCTTATAATAGTGACGGCGTCCAGAACAAGCGGGGGACGTCGAAAAATCCGACCGACGAGCAACAGCGCAACGCGAAGCAAACACAACGACGGTGTTTCGCAGCAGCAACAAATTGGCCGGAAAGCGAGAATCGCTGGGGTGGTGCGACGAGCACGGCAGATTCACCCGCCTTAAGCAAGGCACCTCCACCGACGTTGCACTTGAATGGAAGGATCCAAGTCATCGTCAGGATTCGCCCTATCGAACAAACGGCCACCAGGTATCGTCTAGTCAAGGAATCATTGATTGCCGCACAACGTCGGCATGGTGGTTTGGATCGTTGGAGAACCATACGGGAAATAGTGCAGCTGTGGGTTACAGAATCGGTACTTGCAAGTTGAGCTTCGCCGCACCATGTATTCTTCGGATGGACCTAGCCCATATATTTTCGGCATAAAAACGACTGTCGACTCTGCAGCTGCAACGACACGTTCAACTCTTTCTTCTCGTCTCACCTCCTACTTGAACACAAAAACACTCCAACACATGACACTGCTGTTATCGCTCTGCACTCCACATACAACGGTTTTCTAATGCCAGGGCGGTGGCCGCGAGCGATGGACCCCTCTACGACACTAAATCTTCGTGTCTCAACGCCATACATATATGAGCTCGTTGAGTCGTAGTCGACTACAACATTATGTAGTACCGGATTGCCCGCAAAGTATTCGATTATCGGTAAACCACGACACCTGGTGTCCTGTACTCTTATTCTGCTTCAATCCAATGCATCTCTTTGCAGAACGACCACAGTGCTCCCAGACGGAACAACATTGCGCGTTGTGCCTCCACCAGTGAAGGGTGGCAAGGACAAGCTAGACCAGGGGCGTCTCCGTGAGAGATGGAAAACGTTGGAGGTATCTTTTGATCGCGTCCTCGGGGAGAGCGCAGGGCAGGGTGACGTGTACGATCAAGTCAAAGCGTGCGTACGCTTACCTTTCGCAGGTAAATAAACGTTTCCTATCGTTGGTATACCATGTTCATCTTCCCATTTAATTTTGGATTCTTGGGGAGTGTAATGCATGGAGTACACTCTTTGACTCAAATCCCATCCTAAGTTGAGCAACAGAGAATATGAAAAGGAAGCTGGATAGTGCTGTTTCCTTGTCAAACGACATTATTGGTCTCCAGCAAATGCGAATAGTTCCCCACTTCCCTTCTAATCACCGCAATCCAAAAGCATAGACTGTTACGATAGCACTGGCGGCGTCGGCAAACACGTTGAATTCAACTTTGAAACAGTAGTGCTTTTGTTTCATCTGTTCGCGTTTCTCTTTGTATTTGGTCAGGCGTGAACGCCTGTGTTTTCGCGTACGGCCAGACTGGCTCCGGGAAGACACACACTATGGTCGGAGATATGCCGAAGCAAGAAACATTTGACGCAGAGCCAGCGTCATTGATAGCGAAGGGCAACACCATGGACGGATTGGCATCTCCTGGGGCAAGGACGAAAGGACACGGAGCGGCGAAAAAGGCTGCGTTGGAGGGAAGAAAGTCGGCGGAAAGCAACAATAGCAACACAGGAGAAGTCCCGAGAGGAGAAAGAGCAGGCGTGATTCCGCGCGCTGTGAGAGACATTTTTAGGCTCGTGAGGCAAGGCGGTGCAGAAGAAGTAGGTTCACCCGCACCAGGCGGTGGACAACAAGGCTCGCTGCATCGAACACCAGGCATCTACGGCCCCGGCAAGGCCAAACCCAACTTGCGAGGCACAGCCTTCCCTTCTAGTCAGCGTGGTTCTAGGAGTGAACAGCAGACGCGCTCTGCCAGTAGCAGTGGCCGTGGCAGCTCGGCCTCTGATCCAAACACGTATGCTGGGGGTACGAGCCACAGCGCCAGCAGCAGTCGATCGAGCTGCTCAGATGGCCTGCCTCCACCACAGGTCCCATCCGCGGCACACTGGCCGCTCGACGAACCTGCGGTCTACATCCCTCGCACCCGAAGCTCCAAGGAAAATAATTCATCGCCATTAGTGTATCCCGGAAAACGGGTGATCCCACCCGACAGCTCGGAATCGCCTGACGCTGCTGCCGGAAGAGAGGGAGAGCACGGTGGGGTTGAGGGGCCTTCGAACTCTGCTCGAGAGGCGTGCATGACGGTAGCAACAACGGCTGCCACCAGATGTGACGTGGAGTGCTCGTACATGCAGGCAAGTGTACGCCTTCGAGCGCAGTCTATCACGGGGGATATGACTTTACTAGTGAACAGAACAAGGGGTTAGCCTATAGAACCCGGGTTTTAATAGTTTTTTTTTTGAAAAAGTGTGGCCCGATAGGGGTACGCTTTTTGTTTTGTTTTTACAAAAAAAAAGCTGTTTAGAGGGATCGTGTGTGGAGTATGTGCGCACGAGAAAAAGAATAATTTTCATGCACGGGGGCGTGAAAATTTAGCCATGGCTGTCTGGTGTCTGGTGTCTGTCTGGTGTCTGGTGTCTGCGCGCCCTAAATACCCAGCAGACTCGAGCCCATTTCACCATCTCGGCACCAAATTGCAAACTAAAACTTGCGCACAACAAGTAACATTTTGCCCGAGCTGTCCCAACCGCTACCTTTGCAATCCGTGGTCGGTGTCTCGAGATAGCACACCGTTTGTGCAAATATATATGTCCATGGACGCATCCCCTGGAGGCGTCGTCATTTTTGTTTTTCTCTGGGCAACAAACTACACGC